CTCGACACGAAGGCGAAGACGCAACGTCGAGGCGAACAACAAGCATGGACCATCGACTCGGATCACCGGCTCTGAGAAAGACGAAGACGTCGAAACGTTTGCCGAAAATAAATATATTTATCAACCTCGTGCAAGCTTATCAAGAAAGAATACATATTGATTAGTCACACCGAGGTTTAGGGAAGGTCGGTTTCGAAGCATACTATCACAATCGTGACGGAAGTGAGATACTTCACTTCCACTCATTTGTCAAGTTTTGATGAACATACCACTAACAATAACTTCTAAGCAATGGTTTTTTGTAGGGCTAAAAGTCTTCATATTCGGATTTAGGATTATAATATAAAGCGGTATTTGTACAGACAATAAGACCGACCTTGCATTTATCTGTCCATGCTGCATTCCGTAGATTCCTTGCTCTTCCTCTTTGACGAAGACGTCGAAATATAACAGTGTATAGCACAATCATTGCGGTACACGGGAAAAAGAATGACAGCAGAGAAGAAAGAATGTTAAAGTAAGCATTACTGAATTCGCATAACTGAAATCTTCATGAAGGTTAAGGGTGGACACTTGCTCAAGCTTACGACCATTCCGCGTTTTTAAAGTGGAATGTTTTTAAAAAAAGCCAATAAAAAAGGTTAATACCAAGTACAGAAACTATATGAAGCGTTGAATGCATTTAGAAAGCAGAACATTGAAGCAAGGTTATCCTACATTTTCTTCCATTGGATTGACTCCGAGGAGGATCGGCAGGCCAACTAACACACTTACAGCCCAGACAATTGATATTGAAATAATTCCTCTACCACCACATGCACCATACTGAGCGTAAGATATGGGGCGACTAATGGCGATATACCTAGAGAAAACTGAGCATCATGAAATTTATATATCTTCACTCACTATGACGATGTCAGCTGGGTTTGCCTATTCCTAGCTAGCGATATTCATTCTGTATGTATCGGGGTTTAAACGATAAATTCTAGAGCAAAAACAAGCAGAATAACGATCGAGATGAAGTGCGGAAAATACGAAAAAAGTCCAGTAGAAGCATCCACTACATCTGTCTTTCTACCGACGAAATCTCGAGTATTCATGGATGGAACTTCCACTGCAAAAGAATTAAGCAATCAAAGGATAGTAGAACACTGCTTCCCCGTAATATTAAATTCGAAGATGGATGAGAACTGCATTTTCGTAATATTAACCTCTAAAAAAATAATCCGTTAGCGGCCAAACTAGTTGTATTCTAAATTTTCTACAAAGATGGAATCATTGTCAGCTATTTTGCAGAGACTGAAGCTTTTCCCTACAATTCTGGATGTACATTAGCCGAATGTTTTCAACAACTTTTCCTCAGACTCCGTACGTTCACTTTGCACGGCTTCTAATTTGCGAGGTTTGAAACACGGGATAAGGTAGGTATTTCATAACTCTACAAGTGATGATCTTGAAAATCGTATCAACATAACCTGTCCAAAGATATTGCCAAGAGATTTAATATAGAGGCAGTCGAGCAAGTTACATCGGAAGCCAAATAAAGGTTGCAAAAAAATTGACCAATGTTCCACTTGAAGTCGTTACGCTAAAATAAATATTTTCCTGACGAAAAACGCTAATTAGAGAAGGAAAGAATGGTTTCTGTACAACGAAAGATAAGATGTCAAATCCACCACATAGTATTCTTAAAACACCAAATACCTTACAAATATTTTCGCTGCCCATTTTTTCCCTTGGTGACAAAAAGCTTTAATGGCGACATCAAGAAACGATACATGAAGGGAAAATACCGGAAATTCAAAGGTCATACAGTTTATAGTGGAGACAGGCAATTCATAATACCACTCGATACCAATGGTGGGATTTACTGCGCAATGGTCAGAAAACTAACTTCTCGCCTAATGTTCACTTGGAATGTCATCAAATCAGAAATCAACAGAGAGACGACAAACCGGGACCCTTTGAGGTCGATTTGCTATAGTCGTTTTTATCGTTAGATTAAATCCATTTCTGATAAGATATTATAAAGCATCTCTAAGTTACAATTGTCGAAGGCCACAAAAACTGTAATTGTGTTGAATGTCGCATGTATAGTAGGACCATTTTATTCCACCGTAAAAGCATGAAATCGCCCGCTTTATTTCAGAAAGTGGTTGAAAAGACGAATCACTAACCTCGTAATAGACTCCAAAGGACATAACGCAAATGGCAACCTAAAAAGTTAGTTTTTAAAGTAAACTCAGAAAAAATCAGCAAATAATTCTTTCTCAGCTTGTTTTCTACGAATCACGAGCTAGGGAAATTAGGTGAAGCTAATGCAGTTGAGGTCAGGTTTAAGAATCTGTCTAATACAAGAGCGCACACGAGCTGCGCCACTTCGTGGAGCGGTACATTTAGAGCCTAAGATTCTATATGCCGCGCTTAGGCCTGTGAGATATCCATTATTGAAAGAATATGCATATGGTTCCTCCTTGAGAATAACCCCAAAAAAGCAATAAAAATGCATGAAGAGAGGAGTCAATCAATTGCAGATCAAGTGCCAAAATTATCTTATTAACGGAAAACACCCGCGGTGGTATTTAATAAAATCTTTTTTCGACATGATTAGTGACACCTTACTTGGCAAAAATTATTTTCCCCAAATATCCATGAAATCGAACAGGTTTTCAATGAGTTACAAGTGATACTGATGTCGGCAACAAAAACGACTTTGAACTAAGGGATTCTAAATACGAATATGTCTTGCTTCGCTTTTTGAGGACACGCGGGATTCTATAAAAAGTTGTGCTGCACGCTCATAGTGGTTCGGCACCACAGGAGAGATATTCTACTGTCAGGTAAGCAACACATTCAATAATAACAAGGACTACAGAAGGTTTCAGCTTCTTTGATGTCGTCTAAGTTAAAAATTTGTCCGCGTAGATTGCAGTATTGAGTCCTACACTGACTGAAGAACAGCAGGACATTATAAGACCAAATCCTCATTAACTTCTTCAGACAAATTACTGAAAACTGAACATGAGTGCTGTGGCACATTTTAATCAATTTAATTTTCCCGTCCAGTTTATTATTTGAGAAATATTTCTACTGAACAAAAAGTACTACAATATACAAAACTCAAAGAACTTTATTGGAAATGACCGCTGAGAGTAGTTGCCTACATGGACGAGAAGAAATAAATTTATGCTTAATATATTGACTAACCAAAAAGTCGGAGACCGCTAAGCTCACGATAAGCATATTGGTAACCGTTTGAAGACATTTCTCTCTGTATACAGCCATAATGACGAGAACGTTCCCGAATACGGCAAGAGTGGGAACTACAGGCAAAAGAAGACCAGACAACACTCGCCATCCAACCACCATATTGCAGTGAAATGCAACAGATTTCCTAAGTGCGGCAAGTCAGCAAATAAAATTCTCACATATTACATCGAAATAACATGATTTGCGCATGGAAGAGAGTGTTCAGAGAGTTATAAGTTGCGTTGTTTGAAATTTCCGATAGATACTACGGATATGTAAACTGAAGGAATAACGTGATTTCTTTATAAATAGCTGTCAAAACAAAACTGTATCCACTTTTTTGTGTGTTGTGAACGATTTCGCTGTAAATGAACGTTGTCAAGGAAAGAGATGGGTTATGCAAACGAGCGTTAGCAATGCCAGATCTTCAATAAGTAGCCACGCCCAGAACGACATCCACTTTTTGTTTTTACTCTAGAGTACCGTAAGATAATCTAATCAGCTCTGCGTAAATGAGTGACCTAAGGTTTAAAGAGGATGAATGGAAAGAACTTCTTCACTTTAATTGGAGTATTATTGTAAAAACATCGACAGTATGTATAGAACACGGTTATGAGTTGTAAATTAAGAGAAGAAATGTCTTCGATCACTGAAGTGGTTCGTCATATCCTTCTAAAAAAAGTTTACATTACAGTGGTCGTGAAAGCACTCCCATATAATCAACTGTCAAAGGTTTTGAAAAACTGAAGTGAAAAATCCATAGGCCCTTGAGCAAGCGAAAAATTACTCTTTTTTGAGAGAAGTACATTTCTCATCCATGCAAATTCCGCTCGCCTAGTCACCCGCAGAAATGGAAAACACACAAGGAACAGTATTTTGAAGAGCCTGTTCACCACGCGGATTGAAATTACGCTTTCGAGAATGTTACGAAAGTATGCGCCTGAGTAGACTGCATTTCACAAAGACCTCTTCCAGGTTGTGAAAGGGGAAATTGGCCAAAACGTTAGTCGGCAGGAAATAAATACCGCGCTAACAGCCTCACGCCTACTTACCAAAAAATATGTACTTGCTGATCAGCGTTGAGGTAGAAAGAAATAAGGATGCTCTTCTGTTTTCTGAAGAAAAAGTTTCATCGTAACTTCTTTCTTGTCGGAGAACCCACGCAGCTAATTTTTCTCTGTCTCTCTGTTTAGAAGCGCAAACATCTAACACCAGCGAATTTTGCATTCTTCTATCAGATTAAAAAGCAGATGTCGCCGCCAACTTAACTCTATTTAATGGAAGGTCGTTGTAAAATTGAGGTCGCTCAAAACAACAACTAATTTTTAACATAATACAATCTATGTTCCGAAAAAACATTGCTATGATGAAAACGCTTAGTTCACATTAATAAACACTCCATACCGCTCATATAGAAAACGACAAGTTCAGGTCTTTCAGTAGCACAGCCTTTTAAGACTTTTGCTTATGAAAATAGGTTTGAAGTGCTTTTAACAAACTGAGTCCTCCGATGTCACGAATTCGCTCCCTCCAAAGGAAGTGTTGAAGTCCTGGATGAATCCGAATAGCAGAATAGCAAACTCCTTTTTTTGGTAAGCCACAAGAAACGGCAACTATTTGGGACAAAAGCATAGGAGCTCCGTGGCCACCCAGGGAACCAAGAGAATACTGCTCTCGAGCGACATTCAGCATATCGACGAGGTGGGAAGACAACTAACTCTCCAGAATTAACTAAATTTACACAACCACAACGTTGCTGAGATATTTGCAAAACTCCGGACCGCAGGTGTCTATGGTGGGGAACGAACGCGCTATTGTTCTTTCCGGGGAGTAACGCGTTCACCACCACACCATGCGGGTCCTTCGTTTCCCCTGTCACTCAGCTATTTCTATTGATCTTTGCCACAGCAATCACCCGTCAGCGGGATTGATCTGGGGCGCCCAAATCAGCATAGAACCCAGTTACGCTACGCTGTAGTTGAAATCACAATGTAAATTTACACATTTAGAATACAGAATCGGCACGGTTGGTGGCGAATCGAAAAACTGCTGGAGCTCTTGAAAAATGTGAGTTAGAGCCATCTAGGTATAACAGTAATAAAATGTCGATTTTTTTTAGTTCTAAGAGCCATAGAAAATGTTGAGGACTTGTCTTCACTGAACCAACACTACCATGAACAAAGCAGCTTCTCACTAATTCACTGAAACTTATGTAAGACTGACGATATGTGTTGGCAAATTATGAGAAAAATCCGTAGTTCTTCCCATCTTCTCCACATGCGTGAATTCTCTGCAGATTTGCTGCTTCATACAGTATTTTCCGCACAAGTTCGAAACCTTGTAAAAACAGGCTGTTGATTTCTACACGACGTTTGTTTACGCTGGAGATTACCTTTAAAGCCCTTCAGTGAACACCTCATGCACTTGATTGTAAGCAATTCACAAAATTGAGGAATAGGATGCATGCCACATAAGGGAAAATACAGGCTCATACATACATACATATGATCACGTGTACTCGGAGCTCAAAAAGAAACTGACTAAGCAGAGACAAAGATCTTATACCATAAATTTACATGGCAGCTACATGGTCGCCTTAAGTCCGGATCTTATGAATTTACTACATTCTGGTCCATGACATCATTTATTAATGAAGCCTGACACAAAACACGTCCGAATACACATATCTAAAGCTTGAAACGTATCTACTTTTCTATTCTATTTTTACATACTTCTTAATTCATAAAACATTTTCTAATTGCGAAGCACTTTATATAACAAGAAAACCTTAGGGTTTAAAAAGAACTCAAATGAACGTGTTGTCTCTGTATATTTATTTTTTATTCTATATGGCTGGCGCTGCTATGGGGATATTATCACTCCACTCACTCGGTCATTTTTTGTTCTGCACCCATAATGGACGAACGTGTTTGGATCTGAAAGTACGTCTGGCTGTAACTTGTGTATTTGTTCTTTATCATGAATGACGTTTAATTCCACCCGACCTGACTCTCTCTCTCTCTCTCTCTCTGAAACCCAAAAATACCCTTTCCTAGGAGTTGACAGCTCTTCCCTGCATGCAGTTACCAGCCTTTCTGAATCGAAGGGAGCTTTCCCGGGGTCTGACACACTATCGTACTCGTATTCACAAGCGTCTATAAACACTATGACAGATGCACTCTATTTTTTAACGTGCGAAGTTAAGTGTTTGTGTGACTTTCAACTTCGTCATTTATAAAACCTGAGGACTGAAAGACCAAACAGATTTGACATGCTATCTCACCCCCAGTAAAAGCACTTTACGTTCATTAAGTGCTGCCACTTGATCCTCCGATCTGATGCACATCCTTTGTAACAAATCCAACTCAGTCGATTTTGCTAAGCGTTTAATCACTTCTTCGCCACCTGGACGCGTAACACCCATGCTCGATGTAAACTTGCCCCAGAACGTTAGCATATATTTCTTCCTGCTCTTCCTTTTCCGAAGAAATACCTCGAAAGCACCTAACAGTTCTATGAAGTTTTCAAGTTTTAGCTTTAAAAACCAATAAGAACCCTTTAATTAAAACCTAACGCTGTAAGCTTTTGTTTCCACGTATGAAATATTCAAGCTTCTAGAAACACTCTTTCCTTTTCACCAAACGTTCCAACACGTGTGCAACGATTCCTCCCTTGTTTACTGGAATTTGTTAAAACGAACACCGGAACTACGTCACTTCACGAAATAATAAAATAAAGTGCAACGACAAATAACAGCGAGAAAAAATTCGTCCGTCGTAGTTTTCTAATTCATTCTTCACGTTCATGAAAAAAAAAGCTCTTGTCATATCCACTTATAAATCCAGGAATATTTTTGATAAGTGGTTATTCTTTAGGCATGCTTTCGCATTTAAGTAGATGTACTAATGCATCAACCAATAACACCTTTTCTCTTTAGAAATTTCCCTGGTCTGAATCTCCTTCTTAAACGCCCTAATATAAGACCTCCGCTTCATCATAACATATCCACACCTGAACGAATTTCTCCACACCTTCCAGTAATTTCTCGACTGTGGAAATGTCTTTCTTTACCGCTGTAAGCGGTGTAAATAGGTTTAAAATAATCTCCTAACAACGTAGACAGCATAGACGTGGAGAAGCAGGTTTCCCAACTACTGCCGATAAGTTCTCAATATAAAGAATACTTGAGAACCTGAAAGTACGATAGTCTCATAAAAAACTGAACTATTCCGCTATGAGTGATGTACGATGAAGGACGAAGCTCTCATCGTTGATCAAACCCTGAGGGGTGAGCCACGCATTTGACTTCACTAAGCATCGTTAGAGGTGGCTGAATGCAGATTTGGCCTTTACAATGACTCGCCGTGGTCTACCAATGTATCGAGGCAGTGCTGCTATACTTCCCAGACAAGTCTGTTACCAATTTGCCTACCCTGGAACGATGGAGAGCTTGTGAACCTGGAGTGCGGGATCGAACCCATGTATATCGCAGGGCAACGCCTAACCACTGCGCTACACGCAATGTTGTGCGAATGCCAATCTTTCACTACAAAAAAAGGACCGATGTAAAGAAAAGCGCTAAAACAAAAGATGATTTTTCTAGAATATTACTCCAACCTGAAATTTGTTTAAAAAGCTTAAAAATAGAGTTTAAAACGACAAGGACGAAATCCACATTTCTAACGTTTTTCAACGAGCGCACGATACCCCATAAACACCAAAGGTGCACTCGTGAATATCATCGCACCTTCTGAAGTGAACCCCCTATCCAATCCCTAAACTTCTTGAAAAACAATTCCCGAAGAAAAATAGAAGAAAAGGCGATTTTTGGGTTCCCATGAACCAAAACTTTGTTCTAATAGGATAAGGAATACTTATTTCATTGGCAAAAATCTGCACATTCCATTGGTTTTATTTCAAATACGCAAACTGAGGCATGTTACCACAAATCTAGAAAAGCATGTTGTTTGAGAACGTACGCCTTCCAATCATTTCGCATGTTCACAGATATGTTAATAACGTACTAGAATTGTATTTTATTAGACGACTCGCATTCAATTGTAGACTAGGACTCCGCCCAATTTTCATTCCATTGATAGTTTCCTTGTTTGGCACGTTCCCCATCGAATTCAGAGAAATTCAAGCCAAGAGTATCCAGCACACGAAAGTCGTCATACCACTTAGCCGTTACAACAATGTAGTCGCTGACCTACCAGGGATGTTTAATACCTTGGGATTAGGTTCCTTCGAGTATGAAATTTACATATGCGGTTAGTGCACAGAAGAGATGCGATTTTCCTAGTTTCCTATCACTTCAATAAACAAGAAGCATCACGCTATCTTTCAGCTTTGTCATTCTCTAACCATAAAAAGTGCCAATTCCTCCACACATCAGCTTGGAACTTGCTTGAAGTGGACACATGTTTAACTTGTACAAGGTTGTATTTTGGTTATCACCACGTTTTCTCATCATTTCCATTATGTTGTGGTAAGATGGGAAAAACGACAATGCCTTTCTCCCACCCCTGCAATCTATTCCTTGCATACGTTTGCTGATGATAAATCTCTTACTTTTCAATATTCGAAATAACACTTCCTTTCATTATACCACAATACATCATTCGTACAACGCAACAGTGCATCAAAAACAAATATTGAACAAATATGACGCTTTGAATCGATCAAGGCAAACAAGAGCTATGAGCTCTACTCCCGCCGAATACTACTATTTCAATGGTGAACCAAGACAACAATAGCCTTTCCAAACATTTGAAGGGTTTTCAAATGTTTAGAGGTCAATTAAAGCCCACATGGGAGTAATCATTTGTTCTAACTACCACTCCAAATCTTATGCATGATGAATAGGCCATCGTCTGCACCAATGTAAGAGAAATGGCCCACAAGAAAAAGCAAATTTTTAAATGAAAGATACGTAAATCGGTTACAAACGACCATTTTCATAATCTTACAATAACGTCCAATATTTAACAGGAAAACATTTAAAAGCGCACAGACTAACTGGAAACACTTCCAAAATATCATTATATATCATATCAAATATCAAAATATCAAAATCAAAATAATAACCAGTTTCAAATGTATAATTCAAGAGTATCGTACAAATTCGATACAAGCAATCTAACAACTATGGACAAGTACAACGAATTCACGAAATCAGCTTAGTACATCGGAAGTAACAACAGCAAAAATTCTGGCGACACATCGTTGAACAATGCACATGTTTTATTTTGTACAAACAATAAACAATGATAAATTAAATACACTTTTCTGCAATACCCATATGTATATATAATCTAACATTAATAAGAATGTGTAAAATGCGTCATTATTCAGGAACGTAGCTATGTGGCAAAACTGGTTAATAACCAGATGTTCTGAATACGACTCAAGCAAGAAAACATGCAAAAAGGCGCTAGACAAAGTTCTCAAGTCCATTGTTCTGTATTGAAGTCGAATCACCATGAAGAGTAGACAACTGTAATACCGTTACTAATAGTTAAATAGATTAATACCGTTTCGAATCTGTTAATATAATGTTTAATTGACAACTCTCAATGCTCTGGAGGATTTCGTTTTCTTTAAAACCTAGGAAGTCAGCGAGGAAGAAACAAATTTTATGGAACGAAATTCGCAACAGTCATAGATTTTAATAACCACCGGTAATTGCTTAAGAACTTGCGGATTTATACAGCAAATTTATAGAAGATTTCTCTATCGGCATATTCTTCATCGCCCTATGGATGTAGACAAAATTTCTTGCCGCAGATAAATTTTCTAAAGTGTATAGAGTTGGCTTTATATTTGCATAAAATTCAAATTTTCAAAGAAAAATTAGAGCGAAAATTAAATTTCGAAAGTTGGAGCAGATTTGCAGCAAAATTTTCTGGAAAAACAAACTAATACACAAGAACATATACACCGAAAAGTTTAAAAGTGCTGCTGAAAATGCGGCAAAGGAACACATTGATGACCTGTTCTGGGACAGCGTTGCATCATGCTCGAAATACGAGCCTTGATGAAGAAAAGCGGAAAAAGTTATGATTTCTTGACCCCAAAGAGAAAAAATTCTCCGTGGTAAAAAAGAAAACTTGAACCTTGAGGACAAATACCCATAAACTTGACAGTTCACAATGGAATTGATGAATCTCACTAAGAGTTAAGGTATAATATTGTGAAATTCAAAGGCCAAGAGTATTTTCGATTTTGTATGCACTGAAATCAATGCATAGCTGCGAACACGTTGACAACGTCACACTCGACCGGTTACATCGACCTTGACCGGGTCGGTTAGCTAATCACAATAACTTTAATTATTACCGAAAAATCACAGCCACGAGGCAACGAACATTATTCCGATTTATGATAGCCGATGACTGCGCTGTACACCTCTAAATGCCCTAACATAGCTATATCTAGATTTCTGTGAAAATCATATTCCATCGAAATTCAACGGAGGGCGATAAATCGTCAAATCGCTGCTCGATAGTATGAGTTTTTGTTATATGGTAGCTAGCCAAACAGCTCCCTGTGTACCAAATTTGTAACGTTACGCTTTCTCCACGGTAGTAGCGAGTATGCATAGCTGCTCTGTATAATGTTTGGCATTGACCAACTGGCTCGATCCTAGCAATTTCCTAGCAATTCTGAGAAGAACATGCTCTGTGAGTGCTAAAAGACAGATGAAATAAGCTTCCTTATAAGTAGATGCGCTTTCTGGCAATTCGGTGGATTCCTGCTGCTCGCAGAGTATAGGTCGTGCATACTAGTTTTGTTAAATTTCATCTCTCGTTGTCTTAACAATGTGGAATAAGCGGGACAAAGTCAAGCCGGAAATGTTAACTTGAACGACAGTTGTAGTCGGTCAGAGTGCAAGGTGTACAGCCGGATTATATTTTACGATATTCCACTCAGTTGAGGTGCCTTTCGATGGAGATATAAGAACAATTCAGTTCTATTTCCAAGTCTTGTATGCTCCATTCCAATACTAATTTCAGGTCATCACCTAAAGCACCTTTATCAAGCTTAACCAAGAAAATCATCTCAACATTCTTAACCTTTTTATTTTATAATTAAACTAAAACATTGTTGTAAAAGGATTCGAATTCTCAGCAAAGAGTTTCAATGTTTTTTCTCTTTCATCAAAAACACTGGTACATGCAGTTATAGCACAAATAGTACACATTGTCTTAAGAAAACAAGTTCAAAACTTACCATACAAACTTTTACGATTTGATGTATAAGTGGCGCCGCTGAGATGTCTTTTTAATTCACCATTGGTGGCAAGGTCAGTAAATGTTTCGCAGTTAGAATCTAATAGCAGAAAAATGAGGGCACAACAAAGCGAAACTGCAGAACTCACTTTTTCGTAATTACAAGACAGACGGTTAAGTTGACTACTTTCCATAGAAGCGACTAAATTATTCATTAAGGTCACCAAATCCGCGAAAGTTGGACGCTGCTGTGGATCAGCATGCCAACAAGGTAGCATGATTTCGTTGTACCTGAAGTGAACGCAAATTTAAATTAAATAAGTTTAAGGAACAAAGATATCAAAACGAAGAAAAAATCCGTGCGTTCAATGTATTAATACGTACAATTCCAAAGGGCAATATTCAGGCATTTCCAGCCTATTACCCGCCCGTAGAAATTCCAATATTTCGATTCCGTTCTTGCCAGCATATGGCATCAATCCCCGAGTGGTGAGTTCCCAAAGAACAACGCCATATGCCCATACATCGTTTTGAAACGTGAACTGAAAACAAACAACTGGCTTATGTGACGACGACAAGGAAAAAAATAATGTATCACCAGTTGTGATATGGAATTAGTAACTCATATGTTCTACACAAATCTTTTCCGTTCCACAGTCGCAGTCTCTAACGCCAAAACTTCCGCCACAAAAACGCTTCATTGAATATAAAAACTGTTTCAGTTGCTTATTCAAGGATCTTAAAGTTGTGTTGGAGAGATTTCAGTTTCGGAAGGAAAGTTTACATAGCTACAAGCAAAAGAAATTTCTAAAAGTAACTCAAAAAAGTACTACTCCAAAAAATGCCGTCGGCATTTTCTGTGGCCACAATGCTCCATTATCGATCTTAAAAAGTACGAAGACGATCATCTTCCGCTACCACTTAGAATTGTTAGTAGAAAAGTTTCAGCTCTAATACTGCTATATCAAAATCCCAGTCCCAGTCCAATAAAACCCCGATCGCCCCCGATTCACTCTTCCAAAACTAAAATTTCGATTGAAGGTATCTGAAGAGGAATATCTCCAGGTCTCAATAAAATCACAGTCAAGTTTGGGCCTGAAACCGTAAGCCGAATGCACTTTTAGTAACCCGTGTGACATATTGCTCTCAAAAGGAAAAGTTCCAGACCAGTGGAGAAAATTGCGCATGGCCAATTTGCTCAAGAAAGGAGACTCAAGTGATGACCACTCACCACTAAGCTCATCATAATCTTCACCACCATCGCCATACTAATGCTCAAATTCACTGCATTAGACTCAAAACCAGGAAGCACAAGAGCTTCCACATTGCTCCAGCCTCCTTATTGTCATTTTTGGCAAAATATAAATTATATCGCTGTCTTCGGAAGTAGCAAATTTCAAGTCGTTGATGACTACAACAGAAGTATTGGGAAAATGCAATAATTCAACAGTTACCGTTTCGCTTCTCATCGCTTCTGGTGCCATCCATGGAAAGGGGACATCACGGTGCTTATGAGAAGGCTTGTAACACTCGCTCTCATCACTGACTCTTCGGCACAATCCAAAATCGCCAATCTTGATGTTAAGATCGGAGTCCAACCTTAGAAGCGATAATGAGAAGATATGGTAATGTAGTCAGTTCTATCTACAAAGGATTTGAACTCCCAAAAATTATAACTTCAATGATGCTATGATATTTGCAAAACTCTGGAACGCAGGTGTCTGCGGTGGGAAACGAACGCGCTATTGTCTTTTCCGGGGAGGAACGGGTTCACCACCACACCATGCGGGTCTTTCGTTTCGCAGTTCCACCGATCTCTGCCATCAGCAATCACCTGTCGGTGTGATTAATCTGGGGACCCCAAACCGGTAATGAACCCAGTCAAGCTGAGGAACCCGCATCGTGTGGTGGTGAACCAGTTACTCCCCGGAAAGGACAATACCGCGTTTGTTTCCCACTGCAAACACCTTCGGTCCGGAGTTTTGCAAATATCACAGCATCATTAAAGTTATATTACGAGATGGTTTCACTCCGACATCCATACGGAACAGTTAGAGCTTTTAGAAAGGCAATGCAAAAAATCGTTCACGTTTATTATTCGACTTCAGTAGCATTCAAAAACCGCCTGGTTCTCCCTCCTGAAATCCAAAATGCTATTCTATTAGTGAAGAATCGGGCAACACTAGGTCTGGCAAGGACAAGTTCCGAACATCAGAAGAAACTCCGACCAGTCCTCACTTCCAACTCCACTATTCTTTCTGCCTCAGCGTATGCTTCAGAAACCTTGTCGCTACGCAAAGCGGGTTGAAAGACCAGTAAGCGTTATCGAACGCGCAGTCAAAAGGACGATGCTCGCAGTATCCCATTTCACGCAAGTAAGGGAAGGGATCCGAAGCTCCGATAAACACCACCTGTATCACCTGTATTACCTGTAGTCCCATCGATCGGCGGGCAATTCGAGCGGACGTCAGTAAATCTTCCATTTTTCGCTTTCGCGTGCAAGAGTAGCTCAGTGGGTTCTGCTCGCTCTAGGGACTCGTCGAGCATCATATCTTTCTTCTAGATTCTTCGTGAAAAACTCTGACCATCGGGTCGGTGGTCTTTCTGCAGTAAGTTTGACATCCCGAGGAATCCAGTAAATAACGGTTCGTAGGCACCGGTTATCATTCATACGCATTACGTGTCCGGTCCACCTTATCTTCGATTGTTTGGCGTAAAGAACGGCATCTTTGATTTTAGATCGTTGATGCATGTCGGAAATTCGGATCCCATCCCTTACTTATATGACACGGGATACTCCTAGCATCGTCCTTTCGATTGCGCGCTCGATAACGCCGAGTGATCCTTCATTCTGCTTACGCAACAACCTGGTTTCTGACGCATAAATTAGGGCAGGAAGTACCGTTGATTCGGAAAGGTGGGCACGGAGTCGGGTGTTCTTTGTACTCTTCACTATATCTTCCATGCTCTTGAAAGCTCCCCAAGCCGCTCGTTTCCCTGTGCTCACCTCTGGAACTAAGTCGTTCACCATGTTGCTTTTCCGATTTAGATAGACATAACTGGAGCATTCGGAAATATTCGTTCTGTTGAGCGTGAATGGGGCATACGAAACCAATCCGTTCTTAATGAACATCGTTTTTGTGAGATTTAGTCGAAGACCGATCATTCCACAGGCTTTATCAAAGTCGGCAAGCATACGTTTCGCTTGGCTAATGTTTGGTGTTATAAGGACGATGTCATGAGCAAAGCGAAGGTGGTGTAATTGCCGACCATCGGTTTTCACTCCTATATTAACCCATTCCAATGTTCGCATGACGTTCTAGAGGGTGGTGGTAAATAATTTTGGCCAGATGGTGTCGCCTTGCTATAACTAGTAAGATAATGCTGAGATATTGGCAAAACTCCGGACCGCATGTGTCTGCAGTGCGGAATGAACGCGCTATTGTCCTTTCCGGAGAGTAACGCGTTCACCACCACACCATGCGGGTCCTTCGCTTCGCCTGTCTCCCAGCCAGTTATATTTCGCAATATACTCTGCCATTAAAAAGAGTATGCAGAAAATAAAACGGTTAAGATTCCAAAAATTATTTTAAATTAAAAAAAAAATAACGAGAACATTTACATGCAATTCCGTGCAGCCAGATCACAATGAACGGACCGACATAAGTGCAAGTGCTTCATTCCCTCCGCAATTTGGCATGCAAACTTTAGAAGTTTGCGAATTGTGATTATCTGAAAACATGCTTAAAACGTATGACTATCACAATTAACATAATCCAACGATGGAAACGTTAATGATTAATATGCGAATTGCACAGAAACATCAAGAAAACAGTTTGAACAGCTCGATAACATGTTTTCTATTAGTAACAAGCAACACCTTCAATGTTGCCACAAAAATATAGCTCCATGTGCTACATCCTATGCTTTATTAACTTACTCGAATTGTTCGATGGCCTGTCCTCACTGGTTGTGCGGATCCCAGGATAATCACCAATTTTTCGGAATCTTGCTGGCTTAGTTATTATGGTGCCTTGGAGTCCCGAGGTCAACCACGCCATAGTCTGCCCTACGTCGTCACCACCACAGGTAGCTTCCGCCTTAATGGATCAGAGGGAAAATTGCCACCACGCGACTAGTTTGATACCAAGACGGTGAAGGATCCTGGCATTCGTTTACTCTTAGCTGGTCTTCCTGATGGAGACGTCGGACTCCTTCTCAGCTTGGGATACCTTGTCAGGGGATGAATCCCCCGTTGTCCATCGGAGCCCGACACCTAGGATCACCTACCAGACACTATGAGGAGATAAACCTTTGGAAGTCATACTTTATTTTATAATAAAAAAGATATCATGAATTCCTTAGAAAGGATTGCGAGAAAATATTCATTAAAAAGTGCACTGATTTTTTTCTCTATTTATTGCACACGACCCGTCCACATCTACTGCCTGGATCCCAGCACTTCTTACAATCAATTCGTTTCCTGACATCTATCATGCATAAACAAAGTCCTTCAAGCCTCTCACGTCTCTCATGTGTAGATTCGGACGCTGCTTCAGGATTGTTGTCGTAGCTATAAACGTCGCTAAATATTGGAGGAGTCGATTCTCCCTGGAGTCTTGAGATAACCGGCCTTGAAAGTTCCCACTAAAACTGCAGGAAGTGGGTCGCTCCTACACAAATCTGATAGTAATTTCTCGACGCCGGAAGCATGAAAGAATTGGTAAGTCCGGAGCGAGATCAAACTCCAACCGTGCTCGTCGTGAACAGTATTACTCGCCTCTAGTGTACTAAGATCACCTGTATCACCTGTAGTCTACACAGAGTGAAAACTGTGTTACTCGAACATAAATGGAAAAAAAGGTAAACAACTCATTGTTGACAAATACCTTGGAAATATCACGAAGATAAGACCTCAGATCACCATTTTCCATGTAATCTGTAACTATTATAGGAATTCTTCCGTCCGCAAATGCTATTCCAATAAGCTGCATCAAGTGAGGATGATTGAAACGACCCATTGTTAATCCTAAACATTGAACATCTCGATAACAGCACCAAATTTTCCCTTATACTTTTTCATTAAACGTGTGCTTAAGAAATGAAGATTTCTTTAAAAAAGATCAAAGTGTTTAAGTACACAGGTATATTTTTTTCAAATTCTCATCAAAAAATTAGTGCCTCCTACACAATATTCATTTGACTTCGGTCTAAGCTTTTGCAATTTTCAGATGCAAAAAGGGTTACATCATGGTATAGATAATTAAATCGAACGACTCGTAAATCTCAAAGTAGAGCTAATGAACCACAACAACGTCACAATTGCGCACCGTTCTAGTATACCGCTACCGCGTATTGTCCTTGTGAAACGATGAGCGCATGCTTCAGATCACAATACCAATTTGGAATATGAATGGAGATAATGCGAACCTTATTCCATTTTAGGAAGTTGTAAGATGATCCCAAATGTCTCAATAGTCTTAGGAGGTGGTTATACCGGATTCTTCGCCAAATTTCACTCCTCTTCAGCTCTTGCGAAAACACAACTGGTTTTCGCGCTCTCCAATTTCATTCTCGCATAATACTCCCTACACAAAGTCGTAATACACCCACAACCACGTGGCTTCCATCTAACGACGGTGAAGCTATGCGATTATGCATTATGCAGAGAATGGTCAAGAATACTTTTATAAAATAGATGATTGCCTAGGGGTTTTGGTTCCCGTTTTGTCATTACCAATAATTTGTTCAAATCTGTCCACTTTTCCTGAGTAGCACTGCGCATCTGATTGAAAATAAACGAGAAATATAGTGAGATCAAGCAACAACTAAAGTAATGGCATTCTCAAGACTGCGCTTTAATTTCATTCGCAGCCCGAATCACAACTGATTACTAAACGCTGGAAGTGGTTATTTGCCTCAACAAGCTAATTTACTATTTACCGTTTGATTTCGATTTAAACGCAAAGTGGAGTTTAAAGAAAATTACTTATCTACGTGCTTTCTTTAAATAGAAGGTGCAAAACAAAGAAGTATGTCTTTTGCGACCTAATGGTTAGTGGTACAATTATTTAGATATCAATGAAAAATAAGGTTGTTAAAAACATAGAGACCGGACTGTAATTGTCTACTTGCAGAATATCATACGTTGTTGAATTCGAAGATTCAAAAGATTCAAAACTTCATATGTAACTCTAAAACTGCTACACTGAACAACCTTATGCTGCCTCCATTGATCAAAATTTGTAAATCATAGCCAAAAACTGTTCATAAATATTTCGATTAATAAAAACGATTTAATATGAAATTAAGCCATAACTCTAACAGGTTTACGAGATATGGATGCTGTCCAACTAGTGCTACCAATATACGGAGCTGAAAATGTGATTGAACATGAACGTGACAGAATTCACGATAGTTTACAGCCAAGGTAGCTTATAAAACTTTAGAAGTGCCGAACGAGACGCATGACCAAACCAATATCAACAGATGAGCAACTGTATGAGCTAATATCAATGCACATGTGGCTGATCAGAACGTGGCGCATGCATTGATGCCCATGCATCGTATTCTGTTTATCTTGCAGCAAAGCGTTTATTTTCCATAGTTTTTGCATTTAAAAGGCAACTTACTCAACAGATTCTGAGAGTGAATGGTCCGTGAAAAGTTATTCTCTACATTTATCAACTTATTAGAACAATCGTAGTAGTAAGAGACTATAAAGGAAAGCATATGATAATTAAGAATACACATTAAGTGTAAACAGTTGGTATCTAACGTAGAAAATAAATTCTGAACCTTACGTTTAGGATTTATTTTTCCCTACTCAACTTTTACGTTTTTAAAACTATGAGATATAAGATAGTGGACTATTAACTTTTACAACACATGAAAAACTCAAAGCTATTTTACGAGTCCTCGACTATGTCATTTCCCGAAAAAAACAAATGGTATCTACACATGTCAAACGCACTACATCATTCACAATAAAATTTTCGAAAAGCAACTGACCTTCAAGGATGAAGTCACCTACACCAGCAACTGACTCTTTCAAGAATTTACATGCGACTTTTTTTGCCGTACCATTTGTTGCAGTGTAGGTTGCTCGGCTGACAATACCAAAATGGCCTTAACAAACCATTTTAAGGAATACTTCACATGTGAAACCATCCTCTGATCCCACAATCCGAAACATACCTCGCCCTATCTCAGTTTCAAAGTGAAGTAACGAAACGTCTATTTTCAACCGATCGTCAATACTCCTGAAACACTATCATATACACAGGTATTTTTTACTATTACACAGAATCCGATTAAATAAGGAATTCCTACGCAAAGAAAATGACTAGGATAGGACTTAATACAGAACTCTGCTTTAGCAACGTTAAAATAGCTTTTGCAGCTTCATATTCTACTACAACGAAAAGTCCTTCAAGCGAAAAATTCTTTCTCAAACAAAACATACTTGAACATCTCCTCATAGGGTGATAAGTAGCCCATCAGACATGCGTTGTTTTTGTCCGAATTGCCTACTGACAATAAATTAATGAGGCCAGACTTGTCTGTTTTATTTGTAGCACAAATCCTACTTCTAGTTATCGATAAGTCTCCAAATGAATGAGCAGGTATTGCCTCGACGTTTTGTTTCGAAAACTTAAAAATGTGGATTAGTTACATAAACAGCAAAGTAGAAAGGGAAACGTACTCTCATCTTATTTCGTGCGAGATAAATAATAATTCCAAGTACTATCAAAATTAGAACAACAACAATAACTGCAAGGACGACCTTCCATGTCCTGAAAAAATTTCATCAGTGAATCATAATTTGGATGAAGCCTCGTTAAATCTTAGAACGAATATATACATTACCTTGAAGACTTTGTGCGTACCGAATGGTCAGTCATTAATGCGACACTATGAGTAGTTTTCTTAACATACAAAGTAAAATCATCATAATTTCCCAACCGACCAACGACACGAATAGGGCAGCTGGTATCCTGTACAGAGCCATCCAACAAGAAGCACATCAATCTAGGAAATATTCAGAATTGCAACTTTATAAACGTGGTTCGAATAAAAACCAATTTGATGTTTACCTAGAACTGGTTGACATAAGTTGGTTGAGTGTACACAGTTGATCACACACGTAAACTTCAATGTTCTCCAGTATGTCGAAATTTGAACCATACACCTCCCACTCAGAATGGTTATCGTTACGGTTTGCCTAGTAAACGAGAAATAAAAACCACAACTGATAACATGTCGAGCTAGATCAGCACATAGATCCAGCATGGCTCAAATAATTATAATTTCAGTGTGAAGAAAGCAAATGACTACACATAGAAATACACATCAACCAACATGATCCACAACCGGAGGACAAACTCCGACCAATGGTTGGAAACAAGAGAACTTATCGTTTACGGAAGTGACAAAATGTCTTTCATCATTAGAACACCAGACGCAAGGCAATGGATCCAACCAACCACCTGGAAAAAGTGATCCAAAAAAAGATTTGCCGTGAATACCGTCAAACAAAAAGTAAATTGTCAAAAGTATGATATAACCTTGTGTTAAGTCATCACATGTAGTGTAAAGACCAGCACAGCTTACTGGAGTAAGAGACACCTGAAAAAGGAGCATCCAGTTTTCTTAGTAACCTTCAATCCACTGCAAGGCAATAGAACCAAGTGTGGAATGTGTTCCATGCCAATGGGTCAGTTAAATTAGCAATATCTTATACAATTGGGGGAAAAATATTCCTCCAGACATGTAGTCCTTTAAATTCACGTACATTGCAGAAAATAGGATATAAACAAATAGTAGTGCAGTCCTCAAACGAATTGTCGAGCGCTTCATCAGATAAAGATGATGATGAAACTAACTATTCACCTTGACATTTGCCGGAAGATTTCAAAGAAAAAACAGGAAGTCTGTCGAATTGATTTTTGGCGTCTACTTGAAGATAAACGATGGAACCCTTGTCATTGTAGCTGCGAAGGTTCCACTGTCTCGTATTAGTGGTGTTGGCTTTGTTGCGCGCCCAGATGTTGACTATCTCGCCCACTCTTATGAAAATTTGTCCTACCACTTTGTCCTTCTATTATACATCTTACTCTTCCTTATCTGAAAAAATCAGTATCACGACCTACTACTTACCAATATAAGCTACTTATGACAAGGAACTCGCACACTGTTATGAAGTTCTGCTGAACTGGTCCGAAGCGATAAGTCCTACTGATTCACTACGGACAACTTCGATACAAGAATTAGAACAGTACAAGAATAGGAATGAAAAGTGGGAAAGTTGAGCATATTGCAATGGAATAAAAAACGTTCTATTGCAAGACTTTTCGCGGATTGCCTCTTCTGTGAAAGTTCATTCTTCAAAAGGAAAGACCATCATCGGAGCTGCATAAGGGAATACACAAATGGTACAGTTTCTTTTGAGATCGATCGCATTCTTGCCAAGACGAAGTTTATTTGTCGCTTTCTTTTCCAATAGGATTAGATCATCGCCTTCTTCGTTCAAACAATTGTTCTCATTACAAATCAAGAATTACACATCCAACTACAAAGTGGAGGAAAATCCGTTATTGAGCGAAAATAGGAAAAGAAACGATATGCAAAAGATCTATTCTCATTTTCTAGGCAAACAATTATAAGTGGCGCAAAAGTGGGAATTCCAGAGAATACTACGAGATTTTACCCGAATCCCTATTAATCCATGCAGAGAAAACTCCTCTTGATCCAAAAACAAGCTCTGCATGCTCACTAAGCAAGACTAAACAGTTTCTGAGAGAGAAGAGATAGTTGCAGCGAGATCTTGTTGCTAAACATATGGAATGAAAGCTTAGGATAAAAGATACAAGATGAAGCGTCTGGCGTTGATCAACAGTTAACAGATGTCCTATGCATTCGATTTCATCAAGCAACGTAGAATTGATTGTGCCTGCTAGCAATCCGAATCAATGTGTATTACAAAGCATCACCAACTATTGCGCTACACGCCACCTAGTAAATGATTAGTAATGTAACTTGCGAAGCATCGGTACAGAATGATCTTCACTTATATCGAAAGATGAAGATTACAACGGCTGAGTAAAAGAGAAGAGTAAAGATAAATGTCACATCGAGATCTTCATTAGTACAACATTCCGCATTCTGCTGTGCTGCTCTGCTGTTTGAAAAAGGTCAGGTTGGAATTTCCATCTGTGAAATGGAACGAATTACAGAGGCTTTATAAAGATTTCTCTTTATTCACAAGATCTGTATCAGACGTACCAGATCATACCATTCCTAGTGGAGCCAATTCTTCACACACAGGTTAGATCCACAGCTGGAGGCTTGAAGCCTGGTACAGCAGCCAGACCAGACAATATTTCGACTGATCTTTTGAGCTGAAGGCAACCTACATGATCTAACTGTAGCACACACGACGTCACATCTTTAGATGGAACGGATGCAATGAAGACCTTTATGCAGTCCGCCACTACACGAGATGAGAAACAGTGAAGCATTGTATAATGAGCAAGTGAGTAAGCTGGACTTCACAAAGGATTTAATTGAGCGGACCATGTCAAAACACTCTCGAGAGTTAGAGGAATATGCTGAAAATACAACCTACTGTTTATTCTAAATTTCTTTACTATTTACTACGAGAACGACAGTATAATGACAAATGCCAATTTCTCCAGCATAGTTGACTAAAATATAGGCGCGCTCGACAAAGAAACTGGTAAATAAAATACTCATTGTACAACGAGGACACAGTTTTTCACTCATTACTTGAACATCAAAATAAATAATACATGTGAAAGAGCAATATATCATACAATATCTGTATCGTCAAAACTTCACCGTCGCACTACAGTGGTGTCACTCAACTAGGTCAACAAAACGTTTCGTGCTCCAGTACGATTTCTTTCTGCCGATAACATTATCCTCCCTTCAAGCAGTACTGACTGAAGACGCAGAAAAACGCTTACTGAGCTCAACAAAGTGGAAAAGAGTTGGAAGCAAACATCGGTAGATCAGTTATGCAACGATAAAAACATAACAGAACAAAAAAACAGGCCACATCCTAGGACAACCAAAAAGACCACGAGGATAACCTCCAAAAAGATAGTCCAACGTCTTCGTTGCGTTTTACAAGCTATCCACGATGCTTGAATCAACTGCAGAATCCTTATACATCACCTCAACACATGACTGAATGCGAACTCCATAGATGATGGTTGCAAGGTAAAAAAATAACTAGAACAAGTGCGTGAAGCAGTGTGGATTTGTGAAAACAAATCGTATACGCAGTAAATAAATAACCAGTTGAGTGAGCAGCCTTCTAGGTACTCTCAAGTCACTGGTCGCAAAACAAAACACTTGTGGAAACTAAAGAAAACTCATATATGTAAGTAAGAAGTAATCTACGCAGATACAGTTGTGCGGTGGTACCTCGCCGTTATCTAACAATTACATCAGCGCTTTCTAAGCATTCGCTAAGAAAAGAATAGTGCTAACTCATACTAATCTTGTTTAGCAATGGTATCAGTTGGTACTACTCTTGTTATTCTTTAAAAAAAAAACTAATTCGTTTAGTTCTTATTAGTTCACCTTTAACGCACTTTACCCTACCTATTTAAAGGATTTCTGGAATATACGTTTACGTAGAAGAAAGATTTTAAACTTAAGATATTGCCGAGGCGCTAATCTCACCAAGGTACTAAAGAAGAGATGCCAATGTGTCGCAAAGATAGGGATTATGTTCAAGTAACCACTTCAATTGCTTTAATTTTCACAGAAATTATTTTAAAACACTAGAAATATTTAAAAATTTCTTTTATTTTAACAACTTGTAGAACCAACATTATTTTACCAAAATAAACAACATAAATCAGCTCAATTTCACCTAGATATGTCTCGTGTCATTAAGGACCAGTGTGACGATGCTACGAGAAAAAAGAGCTACAGATGAACTTGTCACAGGGACTTTCTGTAACCAAATCGTTCAAACATGTTGCTAGCTTGAAATATGCTGTTCACAACCAAGAATACCTGCTTATATCACAAATATTCTCTGACAAACTTCCAACAATAGTTCATTTCTCAAAAAAAAACATACCACACTTGAATTAAGAATGAAGATAGCCTCTTCATCACTCTTCAGACCGATCGCGAAACGTGTAACCGGAAAAGTCCTCCTTCTCCAAAGTACCGAAGATTTAAAGTGTTGTTGAACAGAAGACCACAATATCTGAACAACCAGCACAACAAATGAACAGTAGAAATTCTGAGAATTACTAAATAAACCACTTCAACGTTACCCTTAATACAATGGTTGATTCCTTAGCATAACCTGCAATAAAATATGCCCCGTGTCGTTGATCAGGTATAAGAGAAACGATTTGATCCAAATCAATGTCCACACTAAAACGTAGAGAGTGTAGAAATGATATAAATCTAGTGAACCACTAGCCGTGACATTTTATTTTAATTATATAAACCGATATCACATATTGGCGGATTCTAATACCTCCTTTATATGGTTTGTAGCCATTGTTCATGAAGGTATGTGGGTTCGGCATTCACTGTCGACTTCCTCTTTCGTCATGAATGTCGTTGAACACTGCTCCACGTAACCTTCTATGGAATTCTCAGATAGCTCAACTAGAGCTTTTCCAAGGCTTCACCACAGGCAGTCGCAGTCCTTTGAGGATTGGAGCGAGGTTTTCCCAGGCAAGTCTAGTGCCAATTTGCTACCTCAGAGGGATCAGAGGCTTAATAAGGCGAAGCACGTATGAAACCAAAGAACACGCGCTCATAGGACGGCATCAACAGCCGATGCGCCTCTCGCTCCCAATCGAGAACTAATTTGCGCAATCAGACAATGAAGGTTTCTCACTAAAATAGTGCACTAGTATAAAACATTTCTACTACTAGATTACATCTTTAAATTTATGTCGTTCAGAAAATGGATGCGAAACAGTAGGTTTACGTCTTACTGCCTTACTATAAGAAAGACAAACAATTCCTAGGCGTTGCAGTACCGATTGCACCGATATCAGTCCATATCAAATCACAGGCAACACGGCAAAAAAAAGTTTGCAGACTTCCTATGTGGTTTGTTACTTTCAGTGTTACTATTTTTCACTATGTAACGCAACTAATTCAATAACCAGCACTCAAAATGTAGCATTGTACGCGGATACTTGAAAGCCATTTTTTCCCGATGTTTCGGTCAAGCTACTAAAAAAACGTACAGGTAAACAAAAAGCAACGTAAGATTATTCAACGTGAAAACTTATCAGTAAACAACTTGAAATCCAGAAAAAGATGACTAACAGGCGGACAAGGTTATGCTATCAAAACTCGAGGATGTAAAATACTATTCGAAGAGCCTTACATTGCTGTCATCGCTCCTTTGATAGGTCGAAAATCCTCTAACCAGCTATATCGATAGGAGTTCTCAACATATCGATGTAAATTACAGTTCTCATAAACATGGTGGGCTTCCTAAACTAATACGTTATACTGCAGTAATAAATATAAAGATATAAAACACTACATTTGGAAATCGCGAAGTTGTGGTAGGAAGAGCCAATACGATTCGGAGAATATTTTGGGAAAACTCTATTTGCTCCATTCAAATATTAGTTTAAAAAAAATTTAAAACCTTACTGATTTACCTGCCCAAATCGAGTACAGATTTGCATTCGAAAAGCATCTGTTCTTCTAGTAAAAATGTAACAGTGGTCATCCAAATCCGCTTCACTTGTAGCTGCTTCACAATTCTACAATACTATTTGTACACATATATTACAAGAAAGCGCTAAATTAAATAAGGGTGATAATCACTTGTAACAAAGACTTCAC